GGCGGGCCCGCCCGCTGCTCTCAGTGCACATCGCCATCAGTGAGTGCCTTCTGGGGGGGGGGCGGTTCGGGGGTCCACCTGCACCATCCCACCTCCCCCAGCCCCACATCTCCTCCCTTGCCTCTCGCAGGCGCGGGTGCCAGCGCACAGGAGGTGCTGGAGGAGGCCAGTGCCCGGTTGCAGGCCACCTTCCACTTCCACACCACCACCATCCAGGTGGAGAGCTACTCCGAGGAGATGCAGGACTGCGGGCAGTGCCAGCCCCCCCGCGACTGAGCTCCCCCACCCTGCAGCCCACTCCCATCCCGGGGAGGGAATATTTTCATACGTGGAAAATAAAGCAGAGCAAAGGGCTGGTCATGTGTGTGTGAATGTTGGGTCTGGCATCACCTCAGGTGCCTGGGAAGGCAGCAAGGACAGTCAGCAGCCTTCATTTTCCCTGTTTCTATTCAACTGGGGGGAAAGGCAGCTGAAACGACCCCCTTTTTTGGCCTGGGGGAGCCTTGGGAGGCAATGGAGTGCTGAGGTGCTCGGGAGCTGCGGGGGGGCTTGTCCCAGCTGGGGGGAGGGAGGACAGGCTGGCCCTGCTCTCACCTCTTATCGCTGCTCTGTTTGCCCTCAGGGAGCCAAAGGACTCGCCCTCCCTGCAGGGCTGGGTGCTGGGGGGGCTGGGTGTGCAGCCGGGAGCTGCACAGGCTATTCCCAGGGTGTCTGGGTGGCTGCCGATGGCACAAGCTCCCACTGTTCCCCACTAATCCCCCCACCCCACAGCCACAGGGTGGCCTCTGCCTCTCCCCCCCACCTTTATTGCACTGGTAAAACCCAATAACAAATATAACCCAACAACAACGAGTAAAACCCCGTCAGCAGCAGCCACCTTCTCCGGGGTGGGGGTCTCTGTGCACCAGGACCCTGACCCTGCTCCCCAGCAGTCCTCAGGGTTTCTCCAAGCGTGGGTATTTCTTGCGCAGGACGGAGACCTGGTCCTTGAAGAGGACGGGGTCGAGGCGCAGTTGGGAGGACACGAGGGGCATGTAGCCAAACCAGTCCACCAGCTGGTTGAGACAGTCCTGCCGCTGGGAGAAACGCCGGCCGCCGGCCGCCCCCGCCGTGCCCTTCACCTTGGCAGGAGGGGAGGGTGGGGGTGAGGGGCTCTGCTCCTCAGCTGGTTCCCCCACATCCCCATCCCTGTGTCCCTACCTGCTGGGACATGCTCTCCTTGTGCTGCTTCCGCTGGGTGACCTTGATGGGGGGCAGCTTGGTGACGGCGGCCACCAGGAAGTTCATCAGGATGTCCTCGCAGGCAGCCAGGCCATCCACCCGCTCCCGCAGCCCCGCCGGCCGGTACT